ATTTTGTTTCCTGACCTGCTCCCTTAGCCACAAGCTCCTTGAGGGAATGCTGTTTTTCATTGGATATTGGGTGTCATGTCCAATGCTTGCCATAGTGCACACACCAAATGTTTGTGGAACTAAAGAATGGTTAAAAAGTGGATCCCACTAACTTCTTAAAACTCCATATCACCATTTCCTATTCACTCAGACAATCCAGAAAAAATTTAATATACGCTAGATCCTTGTGCAAGTGTTACAGATTATTGTAGAAATCTGTGCATAACATAGTTTTGTATAATCATAATTAGCAAGTTGGTTCACTTCTGAGGTTGAGATTGATATGTTTTATATGTCTCTCGATTTACACTGGTTTAATTCTCATGTGTACATTCTAGCACTTTGACAAGTGGTTTGGAGGTGGAAAACAGTCCTTGTATTCTTGGTACCTTTTGTCGTGATACAAAAGACACATAAATCAAGGCTGGAGAATGAAGCCTTCAAGTCTGGTAATTGTTTAATCCCAGATGAGCTTCAATATAATATTTGGCTTTGAAACTGTCTATGTGGTGATAATACTTCACTACTTTTTAGGGAGCTTGGATTTTCTTAATTGAACTGAGTAGCTGCATTAGATTATCTGCTTTATTTCATTTATACTTTAAAATTTATATTTTTTGCTGGGGATTAGAAAGGGCATTTAGAAATTTTATTGCAAACAAGAGGAAAGTTATATCCCTTTTTGTCAGATGCACCATTTCAGGTTTAATAAATAGAATTGTATAATGGCAAAAAATGATGGTTGTGTCTGTGCAACATGACAGCATCAGCTATCAGTCAAACCAGGAATTTTTCTACCCCATCAAAAGTGACCCATTTTTGGATCAGAGTGAATAGAAGCATTGGAGTCTAGTCCAAATTCTGGGCTCAGATGTTTATCATCTGAGAATCATCAGATAATGATGAGTCATTAGCATTATAATGATGAGTTCCAAGGATGGCATCTAGGACCCCATATCTGAAATGGCACCTCATATTTGGTGGTAATATGGTTGTTATTGTGACTCATGGCAGAAGACGATGATATTACTAGAAAAACATATTTGGAAGTGGTATCATGTGGTCATCAGAAAGAAACGGGTGATTCTAGTAATTGGACTTGTACAGGTTTGTAGATCTTTTCCCACTCATTTCATTCATCTATTAAAGGTAGGTGTTATCAAGTTCAAAGACTAGTTCTAGCGACATTGGTAGACAGAACTAGATCTATCTTGGTTCAGGTTTACTCTATTTTACATGTTTCCTTATTTTTGAGAAATTATTCCATTTTATTTTTGCCTCTGACTCTTTCACTATTTTACTTTTGCTGTTTTTTGTAAGATGTGAGAATGAGAAATTCTGTCTAACCTAAGGGACACAGACAAAATATAGACCATAAAAGAGATCCTTCAAAGCAAATTATCTCAAAATAGTAAAGTATCCCACAAAAATCAAAATTTAAATTCCTGATTTAAAAAAATATATATGATTTTTCTGACTTTTACATATATAATTAGATATATGTAACACACATTTAGGTCTATCTAGTATTGTAGAAATTTTACATTTTTTTATAAAACAATCTATTCTAAAAGATTTGCAGTGGTCTACATACTTGGTCCAAATAACCATGCACTTATTTCAGCGGTATATGAAGCATACTAAGAAATTACCTAAAACTTTTGCTTCTTTAAAAGCATCTACAAATTATCATCACTGGTAGTGGCAGTCGATTTTACCTAGAAACAGTAAAAATTATTTGCCTGATTGAAAATATATCACATAAAACTGGATGTTTCCAGCTAGAATTATGTGTTATTGGGTAAAGTAAATGATTTTAAAATCGATTAGCCCTGCGGAAAAGGCAAAGTCACAGGCCATGAGAATTTGAATAGGTGTGTTGAATAGATAGTGATGTGAAAAATGTGAGGATATTTATATTTAAATGAAAAAAGCTAGGCAAGAATCCAGCTGCTTGATAACTCTATGTGAATTTGGTATTAATAGTGTTCCCTAAACCACTAGTAAGACATTTTTTTTTTAAGATTTAAGATTGTGTAAGTGCTTTGTACCTAAAACTGATAGAAGTAATTGGTAAACTGGTTAATAAACTGCACTTGGAAGTGAATGGGAATTTCAGGCTAGAAAATGTAGTCTGGGTAAGTAATCCTACAAGTCAGCAGAGTTCCTTTTACAGAGAGAAACAAAGATAGGAGTAATTAATGACCCTGACTCTGTGCCAGAAAGCTTTCTTCTGACAACTCCAACTTAATTAAAACTTAAGACATTTCAATGGCCTCCGAAAGCCCCTGATGGGGTGAACCCTTGCAGACTCGTGAGAAAATTTTGTAAATTAAAGAAAAAGATGTGTGTTACCACTAGTGCCATGACTCTAATCCCTGACAGTCAAAGAATCTATTTAGCCCCGGCCTTTTCTTTTAAAAGGCTCACACCTGCAGGCTTCCTGGCACTTCCTCTGCACCAGAGAAGGCAGTTTTTGTGTTTTCGGAAGATCAGATAATAGGAGCCTTGCCGTTGCTTTTGTTTTTGTGCATTGTTCATTAGCCTGTGAGTGTTGCAGGCGCACTTGATATGCTTGGCTTGCTTGGGGTAGAGCATCGCCTACAAGCTTTAGGTGGTGCAATACAGGATAAAGATAGGTTGGTCGACACAGTAAGGTGTTTTTTTTTAAATGTGAAAGTGGCTCAAATTAA